ATCTCGTAACTTTGTTATGCTGCTGCCTGTAGGGATGGTTACAGGGTCGTTTGAAAGTCCTCAGCTTCTTCTACCGAGTAAGACTAAAATTATTATCGAAAAACTCGGGAGTGATGTAATTTCACAAGCAGAACTCGACGAAGAATGTGCCGAAAACGAGGACGGGAGTAACAGTATGATCCATATAAGTTAGATCCAAGAGATGGAAAGCACTGAGTAGAGCTCGTCGAACTGGTTCGAAAGAACACACGCGCAAGAATGTGTGGAGAACTGGAATGACCACAGCGAGGGAAGCGAGAGACGAGATAAAGTGCGGCTGTACGGCAAGTGTGCACACGGGCCTTCCGAAACAAATAGCATTAAATCGGAGACTGTCAGTTTCTCATTTGTATAACATTTAGGCGGTTGGCTCAATTTGCTGGCTGTGCCAGTGGACATATCGTAATTAAATCATCGCCGGTAGCACGTTCGTAGCAGATATCGTGTGAAACCGGATAAATCTGGAACTTGCCCACTTTTCCTTCCTCACCAACGAAACCATTAGAGAATACAGCACGAGTGCATGGGAGGGGGTGGGTCGCATCTATGGAATATTAAGCGGGAGCTTGGATTGCGGTTCCAGAAGGCAGATGATGTAGTGAAACTTTATTTCATGCAGTATCGTATTCCCTGTTGTCTCACTTATATAGAAAACGATATCGATGGAAGAATACAGCACGTCTCGTGGTTGCGCGACGGAAATCAGCCGAGGCGCCCAGCAAAAGGTACTGCTCTATTTAACCAACGAAATTCAGCATACAGTCCAACATCCCGCACCGATCAATTGTGTACAGTAAAATAGCAATTTTGATTAGAGTTTCACACGACGGAATCAGGTAAACTGTAAAAATCTCTAGAATGATACACATGCAATTGGAGCGTTCCAGCGGTTTCCCCGTGCGCTTTAGGTAGGATGGTTAAATCCAAAATATTTACTTTACAATTTACCTATGGGATCTAAGGTGCCCGTCCATGGTCCATCTGCATGCGATTGTTTGAATAGCTTGGTACTATGACTTTGAATCGAAATCGATCTTTCCTGCGTTGCTGCTGGTTAGAATAGAATCCCATAGCTAGTCTGGTGTATGGGTGTCATCATAGCAGTAGCTCAGACACCTGTAAATAGGCTTCTAGATAAATCGTATTAGCGCTTGCTACTAGGGGTTCTTATTTACTAGCACACTTGATGGAACTTATAGAGGTGACCTGTGTCCTCGTCGCCACTCCCTGGTGCTGCGTCGTCATTGGTCGACCATGAGTGCGCTCTGATTGGTTTACCAAAAAACAGAGAGGAACGTAGTTTTCTCGCCTAAAATACATATTCCCCATAGTGCATTTTTGAGGAAAATCTGGGCATGTCCTTCAGGGACTCGTTGATTCTAGAGTTATCACTACGGTGGCGATACATCTAATTTAGCGGTTATCGCTAGTTACCTGGAACCACCATTCCTCGTGTCGGTACCGGTTGAGTAAACAGCTCGTTTCGCTCAACATCGTGTGTAACCGAACAGGAAATGCTGCGGAGTTAAACATGAGGTGACACATTAAGAGGTATTCAAGTAAATCCTAAACTCATCCACCACCACGTGTGCGACCATGCTCGGTGACAATAAACGTCCAAAGATAAGCACATATTCGTGTGTCTCTGATTAAGTTGATGGACACTCGATAGCCATGCTACCAGTGCTGGACACATTGAATTCGAAAATCTGTAGCTGTGAGCACAAACGGTATCAGGCTGACACAAAACCGATATTCTGAATGACATGCAATGTGCCTACACACGCGTAGTATAAAGTGCAGACACTGGCGACACAATCGAAGCAAATAGAGATGTCGTGCAAGAGAGAAGTAAGCATTACATGCGGTTCAAAGTGAACCTACTCAGATAAATGAATGTTGTGAACAATCTGACAAAGCCAATTCAAGCTAACGTCCTATTATAATGGAGAAATTTGGCTGATGATTTAATAGACTAGAACAAATCAGTAGAATAATACAAGGGCAACTTATCAAGAAAACAGTAGGCCAACCCCAAAGTAGGTTCATTCGACTAAGGTTGTAAATTGTTGCACATTAAGTTGTTCCCATTTAACACCGATTGGGTGCGCGCCCGGATGAAGTGGTAGGACTTGAGGCAACGAAGTTCAGTGGTTGAAGACTAATTAGCTCGTGTACGTTCAGATTTCGAATAAGAAAGTTCGCTGTACACCTGCAGGAATAATAACTGCTCTGTTTGGTCTTGATCCTTGTGCACCTCTTTCAATGGGTGTCGAACATATTGGGATGGCTGTTCCGATATTTGATGCTGTGGGCAATGCAGTCTGTGTTGTCACTAATAGTCAGATTCCTAAGGTAGTTACCACTCACCTCTATGATGCGTCAGTCAGATCGACTTATGTTCACCGATACAATGGTTAGTATTTATTAGTTCACTTTTCGTTTGGGGAAATTCATGAAACAAACAATGAGATCGGAATTACTTCAGGCATGTGCTTACAACTCTGGACTGAACCAAATAACCGGCACTTCTTTTGACTGGGTTTGCATTTGACGATGCTAGGCTGATGACGTTTTATTCGGCATCGGCCTTTTCTCTAAGCTCTGAGCCGGAACACCGGGTTCGCCGCTTGTACAGACCTGAGTGCAGGATTATGACTACTTTTGATCCCAACTATGCCCGGTACTCGATGTGCCGGAATGCACGCAGCACATTAATGAGCCTGTTAAGTAGACCTACGCTAAGTGACGTCCTCGCCTCGAGTCATTGTTTCCCTCTCTTGTATTTGCGGCTATGGCTTCTTTCATACTAGCATCCACTTGCACTGCACTGGCGTGAACCTGGTGAAATGCCGATACTGGTCGGCGGATCACGTTTTTTCTGTCGACACCTTTCTACCTGTCCTTCCTCCATGCGGCTGATGAGAGCATCCAAATAAGGAGGACTATTCGGTTGTTCAACTTCGCAAGAATCTCTCAACTTAACATGTGAAGTGTTTAAAAAATGTGCCAACAAAAGGAAAGTGTGCGCTTACTAACTGGCATCTGCGAGCGCTACCTGAACTATGCAATAAAGATGTCAATATAACGAAACCGGATAAGGATTCAGGAGCGGTAGTCATGAATAAAGATGGATATATCAAGATGAGCATCATATTCAATCACACTAACAAATCTGAACGATTTCAGATAGGAGAGGATGTGACTGTTTCCTAATCTCGCATTATTCGTCAATTAGATATGCTCCTTCAGCATCGCGTGAACGGCAGTGCTACTTATAACAGTGGATCAGCTACACCGCAGGTATATGGGCTTCAAAAACCGCACAAGAGCGCAGTGCCACTCAGACTCGTCTTGTTAATAAGTGCGCGATAACAACCTGGCTCGCTGGTTGTGGAGTGAGAATTTTTCGTTAAGCGTTCGGTTTAGTTTGTACGGCCTCAAAGATACTTCTGATCTTGTCAAAGATCTCGATAGAATGAACCTATATGATAAAGTGATATGTTCGTTAGATGTGGAATACTTGTCTACTTACGTCCCTCTGCACTAGTATGTTGACTAAATTCGCGAATTGGCAGAATTTCCCGGATTCTCGTTGTCTATATCTGTTGGGTTATTAAGGGAATCATTGGTTTTGTGACTAGAGATTGCAGATTTTCATTTCAGGAACCTACCATATCATCAAATTGACGTGGCAGTCATGAGCAGCCTCCTAGACCCCACACTACTGGATCTCTTCGTGTTGATGGTAGAGTGAGGGATATCAGAAGAACTGGCTCAGTTGTGATACCACAAACGGTACGTGGATGGTATCTTGTCGTTCTGTACTTAAGAGATACAGATTGCCCAGCCAGTAACCCGTCTAAATGCTTTGTATTCTAACTTGAGTTTCTTCCGAATTTGAACAACAGAACTGTCTTCCTTATTTGGATGTTCTCATTAACCGTAGGGAGAGCGGGCAGACAAAATGTTATGTCTACCGAAAATCTGGTCCGGCCAGTACCTTCATTTTACCAGTTTCACGCCAATTTGGTGCAAGCGGACGCTTGTGGTTGTAACAGGCGAATTTGTACGACCGACTGTCTGGTCGATGAACTAGAGCTGATTACTAACACGCCAATTGCAAATGGCTACCTCGGAGATTCATTGGGAAGCACAGCCAATTCAGTGAAATGAGAGATCCAGTGCCCACTGTACCTAAGAAAAAGATATTCCTAAAGCTGTCCTTTAATAGTGGCATTACTACACTGAGGACTACAAGGCTTTAGTCTCTGCTACGCAGAGCAATTTCTGTTGTTGATGTTGCCACAATCGACCTTACTCATTACGTGCCGCCGTCTCCGCTGAAGAAAACCTACCGGGGCCAACTCCAACTGCGTACCCCAAACCCTTTATAACTGCGGAGCTAGTTACACAGGCCGAAACAATAAGATCCAGAGATTCCAAATGAAGGATCATGTACCAAAATGCGTTCACTGTGCAGCAAGAAGGCCCAAGTCAGCCGAGGTGTTCACGCAGGCAGACGACATATTCCATCGGTAGACACTTGTTAAATTTGGGTCATCGGATTGTGGTCAACATGGCGTTAAGCATTTTACAACGTCATACCAAATTCCGGCTCCTCCAGTTCGTCGGATATGTTGCGATAAACCAGATTAAACCTATGCTTTGCGCTTAAAAGCAATTATACGTCGACTTTAGAATGCCCTGAATGCAGGGTCAAGACATCCGTTTTTCCCATCATTTGTATGTATGCACTCTCAAGCGCTTGTACATAATTACCAGTTATCGTTATCTTCACTAACGGTTCGATACGAGATGACATGGATATCTAGCACATTACTGGTCTACTCGTGTTGGAACAACAGTAGTTGGTTGCAATCAACTTCCAGACAAGAAGATATCATGCATCAAGTAATCTAATTTCGAAGCGATCAAATAATCACAAAAACACCACTCACTTCCATCGTTTCCCCATCCATCACCATGGCATCCAAAGTAGTGGATCCTTCCTCGTCTGGCGAGCCGCCGTACCCGACGCTATGGATATTTCTGTCCTCTTCAGCCGACGTGCAGCCAGCGACTACTGCAGCCATAGCAGAGCCCATATACTCGTTGCCACCTATAAAACTTCTCCCTTCAAGGACATCCCATGCCGTGTCAGTGGCGTTTGTAAAAGGCCACGTGCATATCACTGTCACTGGTCTTGTTTTTATGGAATGTGTGCCCTTGAGTACCGCCAGTGCCAACTGGAGGAGATTCAACACTATTTTTGAGAATTCCGTCCGCATGACTTTCACTGTTAAATGGCTCGGCAGCGATTGGATCCCACCACCATAGGTAGCATTACACGGCTGAAATTGTGATAGGGTTCGGATTAGCAAGCGCACATTACTTGAATGCGGGCGTGTAACATGAGAGCAGCGTATATCATGTGCAACCAATCAGAAAATGTTGTAGAGCGTCGCATGCATGCGGACATTATTGTCACATGAGTGTTTCGCTAAGGTGCAGCCGTTCCAACTAATTAAGGTTCATTTGTCGATTTCTTGGATGGGGGAGGTTGCACTCAATGAGTGTCTAGGCTCTTTGGTATAAAGACGCCTAGTCAAGCCAGAGACGGATCAAGTCTATCGTTTTTGACTATGTCGTTGTCTGACGCTTTGGTGCTCTGTGTGCTAACCTGTGTGTCTGTTACCCTCGAACGGAATCAGAAACGCAACTATAAGGCAATAAAATTGTATCATGAGACCTAATACACAAACGATATACGCAAGTGGTCCGAGGCGCGCGACTAATCCTTGTACAACCAGCAGAAGAGAATATGGGCCAGTGACCGGTAGATCACGCGCAAGATCGAGATACACACCAAGACATGCCACAGGGCATACGTACATAGCATGGAGTGCAGGCGGCTTGGGAAGGTTAGTACATTCCAAAGAAATTCAGGTTGTATCAAGTTACCTAGCTCCATGTCAGCAGTGAATTGTGTGACGCGATCGCCGCCGGTATGGAGTCGTTTTGAAATTACCGCATGATTGGTTCCTATACTTTCTGATCGTTCGAAGGTTCAAGTATGTTGTTGAACGTAAAGTACGCAGAGTAGGGGAAACAGAATAGAAGAAATCGCTTGCTAAGAATTCTATCATATGCTTGAGTACGTTATCGTCCTGTTTTCTGAAAGGCCTAAGACTTCTCCCCTCCACATAACACGGAAAAAATTAGGAGACCCACTATTACAGGTGGACTGTCGTGTGCTAAATGATATCAAGATTTCTGTGCAACATCTGATCCCGCACATTCAGGATACTGTTGCTGGTCCTCGTGGGAATCGAAAATTTTCTAAAACTAGTCTGAAAAGAGTAGGTCATAAGAACAAGATGATCAACGGTGATATGCCAAAGACAGCTATTATTTCGGCGTTTGGATCCTCCAAGTTCCTATCCATTACTTTTAGATTGCGCAAAATAAAGCGGAACCTCGGTATTTATGAGCCCAGCCGCACAAGGGCTTGACTTTATCCATCAGTGTTTTGGATGTACCAACGGACGCCGTGAATTTTCGGATTACCGTATTGGATTCCACATTCTCTTCCGGATTACTCGGTTATACATGCTTTTTCTGTGTGAATTGTACACCAATATTTTTCTTTTGGCGTATTCTTCAATCTGTGCAAATTTGTTGGATGTTATCTGGCTAATTTCGGAGTTCACATTGATTAGCCCAACTGCCGTCTCTGTCCGCCATCTTGCATTTTTTCTACGGTAATCGGCTATCATGGCCACCACATCGGGAACCCGAAATGAAGCATTGTGTGCTACTCAAACTTGTGCTAAGGTATTAAAAGGAGGGTTGACTTGTACAAATTTCCAAGGTCGGTACCGTTCGAAATGCGTCAACGTCTGTAGAACCGACATAAAGAAATACAATACGCCGGGTTCACTTTGGTTCTGTCCGAAGTGCACAATGATTCCACTAGTAAAATGCGTACTAGCGTTAACACAAAAGTACGACAGCCTAATCGTCGAAACTGAACATCGTTTGAATGCAACAATTGCTTCGCTCGAAGCGAAAATAGCGCATGTTGCACCTCATCCGTCTCCTTCAATTGCTGCCTCGAAACCAAGGAAAAGGGCCAAGCGTTCAAACGGCCGCGCAGTACTAGAAACCTTGGGAACCACGAACTCAGTCGTCATCGCGACCGATAGAAGCATGCTTAACCCCATGGCCCCTATCCTCTTATCCAATGTATCCACTGATGCAACATCGGCAACACCCACTCTTCTGAATGACCAACGAAATCCGAAGCGATCTAAAGACCGATGTACCTATGCAACCGTTGCTGGTCGGTATAATCGAAGTGCGACCTCAGTAGCCTCACCCAGTACAGTCACAAAACGAGTCAAGGATCAGGTGCAGTCTGCACAGACATCACTAAATCCATCGATAACCCTGCTTCTTACATCACCGAAGACTAGGCGGAACTACGGTGCCTTGACACTTATATGCATCAAGGTTCCGGAGGCCAAGGCAAACTCCTTGATTTAAAGCAACGGAATTTCCTTTGTGATAAAATCGGAGTTCAAGCCAGTACGACTAATATAATGCGCATCACTAGACATCCAGCCTCGAATAATTATGGAGAGTCCCGGCTAAAGCGAGTGACATTGGGATCAATAGATGATGTCGAGACGGTGCTTTTGTCGGCATACCGCCTGCGAACTGGAAATTGTGGAATACGCATATTTCCGGATGTTCCATGGAGCGAACGCCAGTGGGACAAAATAATTCAAACGACCACCACACGGAGGGTAGCAAAAGAATTATTCTCGTTCATGGCGTGCCCGCGCTACCGACAACCAGCAACGAGGAAGCCCATGCTCATGACCTTGAAGAATGGCGTTACATTCGTTAAGCTCTCTGTGCAGGCGACGTCAAACTTAAGTTGATTACACGGTTACCCGTGTCGCCAAACTAGGGAGGCAGTGGCCCGAGGATACTGAAACTAACGGTGCAATCACAACAGATGGCCGTGAATTTAACCCGTAACTGGCAGTTACTACGCAACACACTTCCCTCGGAACTAGGAATGAAGACAGCAATTAGAGAGCCGCAGCCACTCGCTGATCTCGCGGAAACGACACCACCCGCGACTCAATATAACCACAACAGCGATTCAGAAACCTGTGCGCTAAGACCCCTAGATATCTAGAGATATATAGATGGACTACATCTGCAGGTGCAAATGAGACCAAAAACAGATTACGTTCCTATCGAGATCTGGCAATTCACCCAAAAAAAGATTAGGTGCCGGTCTCTCATTGGTTGGCACAAATCCACACCATTCATGTGCTCCTAGTCAACAACTTTTGACATCCGAGAAGCTTTCCTGTATGTACACCAACGCTAAAGGCTTACTAAGTAAATTTTTCGAAATGCAGCTGCGTCAAGGATCCAAATCCTGCGACCTCATCGCTATAACGGAGACATGGTTACGCCCTGGCATAAGTGACATGGAGATCGCACTGCCAAGCATGTCCATTGTTCAGCACGATTGACCCAGCAAAGGTGTAGGGGTGGCTCTGTACTTCCGCAATGACCTCCAATGTGAGCTTATAAAGGATCCCGCAGTATGGTGCAAGATTCCCTTTGGTGCCGTCTGCGTTTAAAAGGCGAGGACAATTACTTAGTGGCCAGAGATGGACTCTTATCTGGCATCCGCAATAAGCAGGGTGATAAACAAACTTACAGTCACATTCTCATTACTAGCGATTTCAACAACCACGCTCTGGAGTCCCAAGCAGCTCCCGGAGAACAGCTCAAGGCCGATCTACAAGAGTTTGTCTCCAGTTACGCGCTGTATGGCTACAACAACACTCCCACCCGATTCCGAAAAAAAGATAAGCCTTCGATACTGGATCGGATATTAACCAACGAGGAACTAATGGTCGAGATGGTGATTGTCGGCATCCCATTGGGCCGCAGCGATCATGCAGTACTACTCTTCGAATACATTTGCTGTGCAGAATATCCCGTGGAAATTGCCGACGCGATGAGAATGTATGTACGATACGACATCTTAGCTCGACTAGGTGAGATAGCCAACTGGCAGACGATGCACCAGCTAGTACATGGGAACATTTCGTTAGCCAGTTTAGCCCTCTGCTTGCCAGAGCGTCAACGACTAAGACCTTCCGCCCGGGAAACGTGGTCTCATTTCTGCGAAGTAGGAAACGCAAGTGTATAGCGGTGCGAAACTCAGCCTGGAATATCTACAAACTCTCCCCAAGCACCGAGAACTGGATGACCTATACCACCCGACGCAACCACTGTACTCAGCTTGTTCGCGAAGACAGAATGGCGTATCAGCAGAAGTTGGCAGTGCGTATGGCCTCACACCAAAAGATTCTGTATCAACACGTCAACAGTCTACGCAAGGTGAAACGGGGAATTCCTCTTCTTCAAACAGCGGACTGACACCTACGGGCAAAGAAGGAGGAGGCGAATACCCTGCGCCTATAATTTGCTGCAACATTTCAGTGCGATCACTGGCCACCTAACCCACCGGAGATGGTTGTTTTACCACCAAAGCTCACTCACATATCCTTCACAGCAAAAACTGCACTAAAAAAGCTGTTTAGTATACGCAAGCTCAGCTCGGCTGGAGTTGATAACTTGCACACGAAATCGCTAGCGGCAGTAGGAGAGAGTTTAGCTGAGTCTTTGGCTCGATTCTTCCAACACTGTTTTAAAGAAATGTACGTGCCCGATGTGGAAACACGGGATGATTACTTCTATTCACAAGGGAGGTAGTCGTTCCAATGCAGCCAACTATCGTCCCATAATCTTACTACCGGTTCTTTCAAAGGTCATGGAAGCCATCATTTCTGACGCGCTAGCCGCCTACTTGGAAGAATTTAACTACCTTGCACTGGAACAACATGGCTTCCGACGAAATCAATCGTGCACTACAAATCTACTAATAGCACGATCCAGCCGGACTAAAGTAATAGACTCTGACACAGGAGTTGATGCAGTCTTCCTTGAATTCTCAAAGGCGATTGACCGGTTAGACCATAACATTCTGCTCTTCAAACTCCAGACCTTTGGTATTGATGATCCTCTCCTAGGATGGATCAGATACTTTCTTCTACACCGGCGCCTGGAAGTACGTGTGCGTGATTAGCTGTCTGATCCCATCCAAGTTGAATGCAGAGTATCACAGGGATCGGTACTAGGACCGCGATTATTTTTGACGTGTAATAACGATGTCACACGCATCATAATCTCGAACTGCCTGCTTTATGCCGATGACATCAAAGTGTAGAGGGTGATCAAAACACCAGATGATATCA